ATATATATATATATATATATATATATATATATATATATATGTATATACATATATATGTATATATATATGAATGTGAGCAGCTTTACTGACTACCTTTTTCACATCTTCTGTGATGGGGCCGCTTCTACCAACTGCAAGTCATGTTTATTGATAGAAAATCCGAGTTCCTCATCATGGTCGGGTGATATAATCGAATAAGCAATGATTCACTAATCGCCAAAAGTTTAGCATTTCCATTACGTAATAGCGGTTTAAAAGATGAATTGGGGTCAACTGTGTGTCTCGTTGCCACGATGTTTTGCAACAGATGATCGTGGATTTCTTTAATCACTTGGTCATCAGTTATCGGTTGCGTCATCGATTTCACCAACCACTTTGGAATATGTTCGGCCATCCGTTGCGTTCAAAGGTGATCACATTTACAATGNTCTAGGCCGTACATTCCCAGCTGCTCAACTCAGACTCATCGCCTCCACTCGTGGAATCGATTTCGACAAACGCAAACCTGGCTGGCACACCAGTTCCGTCTCACACTGTATACCAGTTCACCTGCAGTTGCGGTGACGCATACATAGGCAGAACAAACCGTCAGCTGTCACAACGGATGGCCGAACATATTCCAAAATGGTTCGTGAAATCGATGACGCAACCGATAAATGATGGCCAAGTGATTACAAGAAATCCAGGATCATTTGTTGCTAAATCTTAAATTTCAAATGGGAATTCGTCGTGTATATTGCAAATGAAGCGTGAACTGAAAAGCTCGGAAGCACTGGACAGCTGTTTCGACCTGGTTTGGTCTCATCATCTTAAATTGTTCGGTTTGAGGTATGCCAGACTTTGTAAATGTTGTTTAGGNTTAGGCGTGAATTCTTCGAACCCTTATTCGTCCTTGTAACCATTGTTGACATTCTTCGATAGAAACCTGGATCGATAATATGTTCTGTAATGCGTTCGAAGCCATTCACATCTACTGTTTGTTCACAATTCATTAAGTTCGAATCTGTCAATTGCTGTAACGTCTCTCCTAAAAGGATTTCACGGGAAAAAGTTGGCTAGGGACATAATGTGCACTGTCTGAGAAGACTGGATACACCGAAACGGTGTTATTCTGAACATCTAAGTTCTGTATATTATCACCACAGTGGATATTTGAGTTCCTAAAATGGGCTACGGGAGCTCACGAAACTCTACACACCCCGCAGGCAAAACCGCCTAGGGAAATTCCACCAGTAAGTCACGTACATTGCGAGAACGCAGTTTTGTCGACGGTATCACTCATATATCATATTTTAGGATGAAGCAAACGTCACCACACGTATCAAACAAAGATGGAATTAGCATTTGTATTTGCATCGACTTTTGCGTAGACAGATGTTTACGTTTCAGTTAAGAGTTAAACATCATCTCATCGAAAGAAGGAAATAATACAAGTTAAACATTTAATCAGTAAGGTTGCTGAGAAATTCAAAAGAAATGCACTGTCTGTTTGTGAGTGTTCGAGTAGATGTTGGTGCGAGAGGATAATCAATGTGGATGAATGTGGGCGACATTTGGATAGATCACCATGTAAACGGTGAGTTCGATGAGAGAAGATTTTCTGTGCAAATGTTTCACGACGGACAAGTGCAATTCACACAGGTTTCTAGATAGCTCATCAAAGACATGTCCGCATAGGTTATGTGGAAAGATAAAAAATAGAAGACTCGCGTGGCAAACAGGTCAGTTACGCAAACATCAGGTCTCCTAAAGTGTACGTCAAAACTGGAACCCATGCAATGAGCAATCAGGACGCGTGAGTGAACTGTAGAACAGCTTTCCCAAAGTGCAAATTTACTACTCAGGAGCTGCGCCTGGGATAAGAGGACGTGTAATTTTAAGTAAATATTCCCTGTGGGAAGAAAAATTTGTCGGGCTCAAGTACTCCCAAAGTCATTGATAAGTGGACAGCACTAAAATCGATGACTAAGAATCTCATTGAAAGCTACCAAAAGCCACCAATCATTAAGAACAGCTTTAATATTCATAGGCCCTTAATAAAGAGGACTAGTTCTGTACGCTGATGCGACACTACCCAATTCGCAAAGAACTTCCTATGCAAAATTGGAACGTAGGAATCTACGCTTCAAAACTTGCGACATTTTGCAATCGTCTATTTGTCCAAAACCCACAAAGTTATCAAAGGTAGGGTGTTAATGAGCTCGGGAACCATGATGGGTGAAGACAGTACACTGATCAAGGTGTAGGACATAATGACACAGTCCCAATAAAAGTTGTTAAAAGTAGGTGATTTTAATTTTTAGATAATCCAGTGAGACACAGAAATCTGCCTTTAGAGCGCATCTTAATTAATTTAATTTTCTCCTCCTGTGTGACAAAGTTTCCTAGTCAGGGTTTTCGCACCCGGATCCCAGGACTCAGGTTGACTACTCGTGAATATTTCCTACCCATTACCTCTCTCGGCAAGCATTACACAACGTGGCAATGAACTTGGTGACATGGATAGCACATGTTTGAATATCTTAGTATTTGATCAGGTGGGTTATTTCTTTTCATTTTACCTCCTTTGATTAAATATGCAAAGATACATTTGTCAGGAAAGAGGAAGCGGCCAATCAAAAAGCTGCTAGTTAACACACAATGGGGAAAGTTCGAAGGTGGTGATGGGACCTGAACACAAATTCCCGAGGTCATAATTTAGTGACGTTACCACCGGGCCACCACCGCCAGGTTACAGCTATTACCTAAATCTCTACCCTTTATTTCAGCATTGCTCGTCCAGTTAACAAATCAAACTTTAAAAACCTTCATTATCTTAACCTCCTCTCATTGAATAGGCAAATGTATAAGTTTCAGGACTGGGAGCTGCGGTCATTGAGGCGCTGTTTGGGAATACACTTAAGGCAAACGTTAACTAATAGTGCTGGAATTCAAAAGCACATCCTCGCGGTGATAAGTTGTGACCTGTTTCCTTCGACTAATACACGTTTAATGAAGCATAGGTAACTATGGTCAAAAGTGACAGCCAGTCTCTTCGTATTTCCGAATCGATCAAGTTGCTACTCAGAAGCGTTGATCAAACTGCTGCAGCTTAAACTCTACCCTTTGCAGACAGCCGGATGGCGCAAAGATGTCATAGATGTCTGAAGTTGGTAAATTCCAACCAAACCTTCGTTTTTCATGCATAAAATTCATCAGTGATGTGTCTTCCCAGAAAGATCTAGCTGCTTGGCTAGCAAAGGTATTCTGCATTCTCTAATAATTCTCCAGTAAGTGAGATTGGAAACTGGACCAAAACGTCATGCTTAGCCATTTTACACATTGAGGGCAAAACAAGCATACCAAACAGCGCTACACTACCATTTAACTAATCCCCATAAGCTCGCAAATAAACTGAATCAATGTTACGCTGTAAAATTTTGTACACATGCTCAAAATCACACGGATTGCTACATGGGAGCAAACTGATTCCGTCATTCTCGCACCCTGATATATTTGTTCCTATAATCAAATATAGAAGTAAAACATAAATGAGAGAAAAGGCAACCCTGAGGAGCACCGTTTTCTTCAGCTGGGTGAAAAATAGCAACAAGCCCAAATTCGGTTTCGGCTACTGAATTATCAGGATCGTCATATTGAAATAAACATCTCTGATACACCATGAACTGAATTGAAGAATGCATCTGGATGACATAGGTGTTCCAGACTTTGGTGAAAGTAAGAGCGGTCAACACATCCTCGACCGGTTCTAACACTAGCCTGGTTCTTACGCGTGCAACTTTCATGTAATGCAGACAATCGACAACGAATTACACCCAAGAGAAGTCAAGGGACAACGTTGACCAAACTAATTCCTCTCTGGTTATTATATGAGGATCTATCTACGTGATTTTAATTGGACAGGAATACTGAATGACAATATTCAGATGGAACTGTCTCACGTTTACAAACTGAAATTATTCAAAAAGAAAGTATAAGTAAACTTGCTTATGAAATCTTAGCATAAGCCAAAAGTGCGCTACATTCGTATCCAGTCGAAACGTAACCTTGGGGATATCA